CCACCTGTACCGTAAACTATTACATACATTCACTAGTAGTGGCAATTAGTTTTGTTTGAATAGTGAAACAACAAAAAACCCACTGAAATCCCAAAACATGCAAGTTTTTAGCACTGAGTATTTATTTCCAGGTTTAAAATACTCATTATGTCAATAGCTTAGCTGGAGCACTTTCTTGTATGATTAAACATTCTCAATTATGCTACATTGGAATGAGAATCCATACCTGATCATCTTTGTTTCTCACTTCTTCTGCAGTGAATGGTCGAATTCTTAAGTAAACTTTCATTTTCTCAGCTCCTGCTTCAACAAACTCATCAAGAAGTTTTCTCTTTAACTTTGTATCATCTTCTTGAGAAATGACAGGAAGAGGATTCTCTTCGGGTGAGGGTACATAACCTTTAACCTGCTTATCACTTTCTTCTTCACAATCCATTCTTTATGCAGAATACAAATGTTAAAATTATATTCACATGAAACTAAATATTATTCTAATCTTTTAAAATTGCTTAGGTTTGACAGATTTCATAATATACTGTAGATCTTAATTTTGTTTAAACTTTTATTAACGACCTCAAACCAAATAGACATTGCAAAACATCAAGGACATTCAACTACTGATTTGATTGGTTACATTTCAGAAAACAGAGCAAAATGAGTTTAAAATGTCCCAGTTTTATTGAGACCAAAGAATTAAGCTCTACTGAAGAATTCATGTAAATGGAAATTAAAAAAAAAATGTAGCTTAAGATGATTTTCAGAATTTCTAATAACAGATTCTAATGCTCAAAATAATTTTAATTCTATAAAAAAAGACACAATTTTAATGACAACTTAATATTATTAATTTAACCCTACAATTAACAACTGAGTTCAGTATAAACTCCATTAAATTTTTGAAACAATAGTGATGTACGAAAGGGTTTATGATTGACTGACTGTTACAAGGTCCCTAATATAAAAGTCATACAAAAATATATAGAAAAATAACATCAGTAATGTATTTAATCTCCAAAATACAATCAATATTAATCTCACTCATTACTGCTATAGACCACTATGTGTTTTACTTGGACAATGAGTGATTTTGATCAATTATTTTGGTCTGTTCAATAGAATGAGTGTTGCACCTCATCACTGTCTCAACAAAATACCTGGAATTTGACTTTAAAAACTGACAACTTTGTTTACTCTTTTAAACAATATACTTAGTTTAGCAAATAACTTATCTAATAGCAAAGTAATCACGTGTGAAATTACTGAACATAGTATGAAACCTGAAACAAGTTATACCCAAGAGAAACACCTCAGTATAGTAAGAAATGGCAAAATAAACTTTCCCTGTTATTGAATGTAAAAACAATACAATATTTAATATCACTATACACATGATATTCAGGTACCATACTCAGACCATAGTAAAGTCAGCTGCACAATGAAAAAGAGACACACAATTCATCACTAGCACAGTTAGATAAAAGTGAGACACATATTGAAAGTTAAAATTTTCCCAAACTGAAAATTTATTTTCGATTGATACCCCCCCTCACAAAATAGCTTTTCTTGATTAGTACTGCCCTCTATTAGTGCAAATTTTCAATACTCGTCACTAGTCTTCCACTGTGGCACAAACATAAAAGGTGGAAAAAGATGAAGGAATCTCATAAAACATATTACCGATTAATGGGACTCCTGGGTGTCAATTGGCTAGGGTGCAAAAAACTGTAGTGGTAGTTCGACCTCATTCAACCATTGGCAGTATCTGAATTTGTACACAAGTTCCACGGGATGCAGAAGTTAACCCACCTCTTCACCTCAAAACAGAAATTGGAAGGGATGATGAGCTTCCATACCAAAATCCGCCTCCACTTGTGTGCATTTTCAACCCAACCAGCACTTAATCTACCATGAACCGACATCCAGTGGATGGTAGGAAGAAGGAAATCCTCAGTGTGATCACATCTCCAGTCGAAAACCTAGTGGCATTGGGTATCATAGTGGTATCTGAAATTGTACATCAGGTCAGCGCTATAAAGACATCCACCATCAACACGATTCTAATCGTGATCGGGCCATCTCCAACTGACACCAGTCCCACCAGGAATATACATTTGGAGGATGGTAGGAAGGATGAATGCCATGGTAGAATAAACCAATCTGTCAAATATTTATATATTAATACTGTGTAATGCTACAACCAACACCTGGTGGTATCTGGAATTGTACAGTAGGTTCACAGGAGGAAGTGCTATACATCACCAACATCCACAGAATGAAGAGGACAAAATAGTTTGGTGGATTTGATTAGCAAATATTGCTTAGCATCTTTTTAACATTTGTCATTTTAACACATAATGGCAACTAAATCCAACACTGAAAGTATTAACTCTTTACAAAGACATCCAATAATGAAAAAGAAGTAAATGGTATGTTTTTATTCTAATAACACTTTTATTCAGCTTCAAACCATAACATATAATTGTACCATACATGACATTTCATGAACAAACTATTTCCTGGTATATAAAGTAAAACTTCAAAACTGCAAGGAATACCAAACACCTCAGCTGTCACAAAATAATACAACAATCAATTAACCAGAGAAAGAAGTGACTTGAAGATATTGCAACTTAACAAGGTTTCCACAAGTTGTTTTTCAAGTTAATCTAGTTTATTTCTCTTTTTTTTTCTGTGAGACCTCGTCACTCTTTTTCACAATGTGGTATCCTTGACTTTTTGAAGAAGAAAATGTCTAGTGACTTTTCAACAGTAATTACCCCTCTTGCCATGGGCATCTTTTAGTGTTCATGTCACGAGGTTTTTAGTGAGTTACATTCAACATTTAATTAATCTACATTTTGTTTGTTCATGATATATCAATTAGTAATAATCCACATTTTAACAGTATACAAGTTTTAAGTTCTTTATTTTATAAGGCAATATTAAAAAAAAGATCCTGAAGTTTTTCTAGTATGTGAAATACGACATTTTTTCTTTAGGCATCCCTTCTTCTCTAATTTATTTATCACCCCCTCCAAGAAGTATGAAATTTAACATAAATTATTTATTATAATATTGTCATTGCTTAGATAAAGCATAATTTTCATAGCCTTCAATTTTGTTTGGTTACAGAGCCATCAAATAGAAAATCAGACCACTCTTACCATACCCACCTGTCACATCTTCTCTTTCAGGATTTGTCAATAGTTCTCTCTTACGTTTAATACTATATTACTTTTAACCAATAGAAAGCCAAGATTTTCATCTATCAAATGACATAATATATAACGTTTTCTGTATAGAAAAATTTTAATTCCTCTTTCAGTACAAGTTTCGTTCCCATAGGAAATGCACTGACCAGCTTGGATGAATTTTTAACGGCTCTTGTCACAGTTAGAAAAACATAAAAATTGTGATAGTTAAGGGACATTGTCTGCTTTCTGCATATTATTCTATGTACTTTGGTGCATTATTGAAGGTAGGGTTAGGTATCATTGACAATAATAAGAAATAAACAATTGGGTAAGTACTTTATTTCTTGTTTTCATGTTTATTCTTTATCTATTATTATAAAAGTAACTAAAATGTGAAAACAGGGATCTCTTTAGATTAGTTAAAATAAATATCAACACAATAAAAATGTTTCATGAGGCACACACGCAAGCAGCCTGTGGGTAATGTAATTCCATAGTGTAACATGAGCTTTACATTCCCCTGTGACTTTCAACTTATAATGGCATGAATAGCAGTTAGACACATTTCAAAGGGCAATGAAACAATCAAATTTAATTATAAATAGATGTATACTGTTACGAGTTTAAAGCTACTTAAGATAAACAAATGTAGTTTCATGATGCAACTTGAAGTCATTCTAGAAAGAAAAAAATGTAAGAGACTTAAATCTTACTAACGGGTTTCAATTGCATTTGGATTATGTTTTGGAGGATTCATGAAGGTGGAGTACCTAATCAATTTTACTTCCTACTCTGGAGGAAAAGATATAAATAAATAACTTTTTATTTCTGTTAGTTCAGTGGCATTGTTTATAGACTTACTGAAACATGTAAGGAAGCTTGTCATACTGACTGCATCAACCTAGAATCAAAGTGTGTTTCACATTCGACAAAAGACTCTCTTTACAGTTTTATAACATGTAGGAGACTTAAACCTCCCAATGAGTTTACTTTTGTCATTGTTATTAGATAGATGCATGGTATTGTCATACCAGGACTAAATACACCACAGTGTGGATGTTTGAGGCCTGCTCCTATAAAATAATCATTTGGTGGAACAACTTATATTAGAAGAAACAGTTACCTGGACTCTACATTTCATCCAAGTTACAGTTTCATTGCATTTTAAAGATATTCCGATGCAGTTGTGTCTGTAGAAACAGTTCCTGTGTATGATTTTAAACACCCAGTTGCTTTTGATACACACTGACATGACTTGTCCATAACACTACTTGAGATTATTATACACACAAAATATATTTTTTTTTACTTTATAATGTTATGTGTTTACCCAGGTGTGAGGCTACTATGCAATGTAATCTCAAGTGCCTAAAACCGGGAACTCAAAATAAAATCAACAAGGTATAGTAAAGGAGGTCATGTAGTGTTGTGGACTAGTTGTTATTCACACAAAATATATTTTTTTGCTCTATATCTATGTGTTGGGAGGCTATTTTGCAAGGAAGATTCAACCGCATAAAATGAACTAGTTATTATGCATTCAGCATATAAATTTTTTACTTTATAATGTAGCTATGTCGTTTCCTCAGTGAGAGGCTATTTGGCAACCTACACTAACAGAAAAAAAAACTGTGCAGGACTTAAAATGGAATAAAATTCATATACATTAGGTTTAGTGTTATGACATATAAAAAACCAATACAGGATATGTCACTGAACATATCGGGTAGTACTCGACTCGGCTGCATGGGATTTTTCACGGTTCGTGAACACCTTTTTGTTTATTCAAATTTCGTACCCACAATTTTTCTTTGACAATGTTTTCTGAATAAACAGGTGTAAAACGTTTATTCAGGCTTCAGTCATTCAGGAAATCATTTTTGTTTCACCGAGAATTACCCTTCTGTGATGCCAAGGCTCAGTGAAGATGAACGGCTTTGCACAGTCAGAATGCTGCAGGCTGGTGTTGCAAGATGTTTCGGAGTCCATCGGAAAACCATTCACTCTTTATGGCGACGGTTTCAACAAGCAAGAAATGTCCGAGATCAATAAAATGGAAAGGCATTTACGTAGTCTACCAAATCAACCAGTAATGTTGGTGGGTCTCGACACTGCATTAACCAACATATGGATTAACATTCCACATGCCATTTTGAGCAATTTAGTGTCATCAATGAGGTGCCGTTGTAAGCATGTGCGAGTGCAAATGGTGGACACACGCGATGTTAGCCCTGTTAATTTC